AGGCATTTCTCCTGCCTCAGCCTCCTGAGTAGCTGGGATTACAGGCATGCGCCACCATGCCCAGCTGATTTTTTGTATTTTTAGTAGAGACGGAGTTTCACTATGTTGACCAGGATGGTCTCGATCTCCTGACCTCGTGATCCACCCGCCTCGGCCTCCCAAAGTGCTGGGATTACAGGCTTGAGCCACCGCGCCCGGCCTGCATTTTTTTTAGTAGAAACGGTTTCACCATGTTGGTCAGGCTGGTCTCAAAACTCCTGACCTCCAGTGATCTGCCCACCTTCGGGCCTCCCAAAGTGTTGGGATTACAGGTGTGAGCCACCATGAAAAAGGAGGGCCTCACTTTAGAACTGATTTGGCATTTAGCAATTAAGAACATTGGATGTGCACTTCAGCCTGGGTAAGTGAGACCTAGTCTTGAAAACAACAAAAAAACACCTCCTGAGAATTGGCAAATTAAGGTGGTTTCTGGGAGCACAGCCAAACCCCTAGAAAAACATTCAAGCTAGAGTGAATGTGCCACTTCACCTATCTCCTGTAGTACCAGGGAAGTTCATGTTGCTATAGACAGCTCCAACAAAAAATAGCAATTCCCTTAGGTCAGGCCCAGCAGCCACACATATATACACTGAGAATGGTATGGGCTGTCTAGTCTGGTTATGTCAAGAATAGATCATTTTCTAACTGGCATCCCATTTCAGAAAGCTTAAAGACCAGGTCCATTGATCACATTTTTTCCTGTTTAGTCCCCTTTGCAAGGTGCTCATGAGGAAGTAAGCATGTGACTGGTTTGAAAAAGGCAGATGGGTCCCTTTCTGTATGAAACTGAGATTTTTACTGACATGCAGATGTGCTTTAGAGTTAATGTTTCTACAAAAGGTTTCTATAAACAATAGAAAATTTCTAGCATGAAGTCACAGGATGTTAAAAATATTACAACACAATAAATACAACTACACCCTCCACAGCCCCAACCAGACAGGAATAGGCAGCTATAAGGTTTGGAGGGAAACACTGAGATCGCCTTCACAATCAACAGAAACCCAGAGCACCACACAGGAAGAGGGAACAAGGGCAAGTCTACGCAGCAGAGAGAGCAACACGCGACTCCAACTTCTGCTTCCCCAGCTTTGCCTTTTCCCAATCTGACCCTGCCTGTGGCCTGCAACAGCTAAAAACCATAGCTTCAGTCTACTTCAGCTCTCATAGAAACCCTCTTGTCAGTGCACTGGATGGACAACAGGTCTGTTTTTGGTGCAAAGCACATGGGCACACACTGTGGTTTCTATATTGATTAAGTCTGCCTTACGGCCAGTAATAACTTCAGGGCCAGGTGCCATTTTGTATCCTCTCTGCTTACAGGGCCTTTCAGTGACCTCCAGAATGGACTCACAGTACAGGTTGTGATGCAAAGGCATATATTTTCTTTTGGAAATGGCCCTTGAGAAAAGTAACCAGGGACCTGAAAGACCATGAGATTGTGGAAGGCACCTGGACTTAGTCCTAGGAGAAGACCAGTGGCTTTGCTAGCTGCTTATCACAGATGTAGCCTAGTTGGTCTGGATTATCCTTGGATGACAATGGTGTCATGTGACACTATATAGGGTACTGTGGCTCTTGTGCCTGAGTGGACCCTGAGGCTAGGGAAGCCAGACTGAGGGGTCATTCATGGAAGGGCAAGATGTGTGAGCTCTAAAGGGGATGTTAGCACTAAAGATTGCCCAGTCCTGGTCCTTGGAGGTACTATACTTGATACTGTGCCAAGTTCAGCAGTAGCCTGTACCATGGGTCCCATCAGGTGACCAGGTTCTTGCACAAAGCAAAGTTGAGGAACTGGCCAAGTTCTCTTCAGCACTTAGCACCTAATCCAGACATGCCCCTTAGGAAGTGGGGAAAATTCCCTGCCAGCCCAGCAGCAAAAGGGCTCAGTGGGACTTGGAGTGGTCCAAAAGAAACTCTGGCACAAGTAGTTGAAGGCTGTGCTCTTGCTGCAAGCCTCACTAGTCGCAGTGTTGGGCATAGCACCCCTAGTTACCATTCTGTACAGGTGTGTGGCTGCACAGGGGTGGGAGGACGTGCAGGAGAAGGGCAGCTCTGCTCTAGCTTTTCTTGGAGAAGCCAAAACTCCAAGTAGAATGGGAACTATCTGGGACATTTAGACAGAATGGTATAAGCCCTAACGCCCTTTCTTTGTACTTTAGTATAATTACTTCTGGCCCTGCACAGGGCCTGTACTCTCCAGCTCCAGACCTGGATCTCTCTCCAGGTTGACCATGGTGGAAAGTGAGGTGGCAGTGCCAGAAGGGACTAGAGATTAGCTACAAAGGGAAAGAAGAGATGACAATAAAGGCCGAGGAAGGATGCCCAAAAGCTTGATTCAAGGTTCAAAGATGGTGGCCAGGCCACCCCCATCATTGTCCAGCACCTCCGTCTCCAGCACTGGCTTTGGTTTTTTGAAAAGTGAGGGAAGATTCTTAATGTGAACTTCTTTTCGGAACTGCTCTCCCAAGGGTTTCTGTGGAAAACAAATGAGAAAGAATTAATGCTGGGCTCTAAGCAGTAGGTAGAGATTATCTCACCATAATGGTCAATAACTACAGCTGCTTTATGGTTTTCCCATACACATGATTTAAGAAGGGGGTTGGGTGCACTAATGAAGGTACATGACCTACCCCAATGCAACCAGCAATGAGGCGTTTGAATTGGTCCTTTCGGCGCTTGTCAGCCACTTTCTGCAGGGAGGGGTTTAAAAGCTTGCAGTCAAACTGGTCCAGTGAGTCCTTCTGTATTTCAGGGATTTGCTCCATTACAGCTCTTATCTCCAGGTACCTGGGGCGCTGGTATCAGTAGGGATAAACTTGCTGGATGTAGGTCTGGACACTGCTACCTTCCCCATTTCCTGCCACACCCATTTCTTTTTATTTTTTAATTTTTTTTAATTTTTTAATTTTTTTTATTTTTTTTAAAATTAATTTATTTACTTTAGGTGCATATTATATCTGGCATTTCTCCCCATGTTATCCCTCCCTGCCCTCCCCAACGCCCGCTGTCTCTCCCTACCCCCTTCAACTGCCCCCACTTTGTGATGCTCCTCTCCCTGAGTCCACATGTTCTTGTTGTTCAACACCCACCTATGAGTGAGAACATATGGTGTTTGGCTTTCTGTTCTTGTGTTAGTGTGCTGAGAATGATGGCTTCCAGATTCATCCAAGTCCCTACCAAGGACACAAACTCGTTTTTTATGGCTGCGTAGTATTCCATGGTGTATATGTACCACATTTTCTTTGTCCAGTCTATCACTGATGGGCATTTGGGTTGATTCTATGGAAGTCTAGTATTTCTTTTTTTTTTTTGAGACGTTTCCAGTCGACACTCAGAAACAGGATGTTCAGTTTCCAAATGGTTGTGCGGGTTTGTGTGTGTTTCTTGATCCTGAGTGCCAGTCTAACTGCACTGTGGTCTGATAGACTGTTTGTTATGATTTCTGTTCTTTTGCATTTGCTGAGAAGTGATTTGCTTTCAATGATATGGTCAATTTTAGAGTATGTGCAATGTGGTGCTGAGAAAAATGTGTATTCCGCGGATCCGGGGTGGAGCTTTCTGTATATGTGTACTAGGTCCACCTGGTCCAGCTCTGCATTCAAGTCCTGGATATCCCTGCCAACCTTCCGTCCCACTGCTCTAATATTGACAGTGGAGTGTTGAAGTCTCCCACTATTATTGCCTGCCACACCCATTTCTAAGAGACAGCACCAACAATGATACGGCCTAAGAGACTAGGAGCAGATACTGAGTGATGAAGCTGTAGCCATCTTGCCCCCATGCTTTCCCCACTCACCAGCGCCTCATATATCTGGAAGGCCAGATGGACCAGGGAGGCCATGCACCCGTCGT